GTGGAGACGGGCGCGGCCGAGAGCGCGAGCCCCCCTGCCGAAAAGCCGGCGGCTGAAGAGCCGGCGACGCCCGGGGACGGAGGGCAGGCGGAGTCCAGAGCCGCTCTGGCTTCGGGCCCTGCGAGCGCGAGCGAGTCTCAGGAAATCGATGAAGACGAAGGCATCCACAGCCACGACGGCAGTGACCTGAGCGACAACATGTCGGAGGGGAGCGATGACTCGGGGCTGCACGGCGCGCGGCCGGTTCCCCAGGAGGCCGGCGCGAAAAGCGCCAAGGAGGCCCCGGCCGTCCAGGGGGCCGAGGGGGATTTCGTGTGTATCTTCTGTGATCGCTCGTTCAGGAAGGAGAAGGATTACAGCAAGCACCTCAATCGCCATTTAGTTAACGTGTACTTCCTTGAGAAAGCCGCGAAAGGGCAGGAGTGACGCCGCTTCGGACGAGTCCCGCTTTGGTCTGTAGGAGCCACTCCCCTTCCTTTTGCTCTGTGGTGGTGGGCGGCTTTTTGAGACTGCTTTCATGAGTGCAGCGCTGATCCTTCTCAGTGGCACTCGTTTCCTTAGGGCGTGTGCGTGCGGCACAGATTTCAGTGAGCCCCGCTGCAGGGGTGCGTGTGCGGAAACCGGCAGGCGCCGCTGTGAGCCGGTCTCAGCTCCTGCTCGCCTGCTTCTCCGCGTCTGTCCTGTTCCACTTTAGTTTATCCTTGCTAGTTCCTCCTTTAGCTCTGTAAAAATTGGCTTGAGAGCAAATTACTTGAATTTGCCTGCTTTATATAAAGTTAGCACTTTAAGATTTCTTTAGAGATGAGAAAAGACATTTAAACTGAAGAAAAATTCTCCCAACAGTGGACATTGTATCAGTCCAGGTATTTACTTCCTGATTTTTGATCAATATTTCATGTTCTTGTGTTAATCGTCATAAAACAGTGATTTTGGTGTTTTTTTTATTTTGGTGCTTTAATGGCTTAAGATGTTGCACATTGTTTTTTGTTTTTCTTTAACCTATGCAGTTAAATTTTTTCTAGAAGTAGCGTTTGTGTGGACCAGTAACACTTATATGCATGTCTATTTTGGCCGCTCTGGCGGGTGCTTTTGGGCTTGTGTGCGCGGCGGCGCTGTTGGCTCCTCTGCCGCAGCTGCCTCTGGCGGGAATAGCGGTGTGCGCAGGGCTGTGAGCGGATGGAACGCGCAGGTGCAGCCCGCCGATTGTGATTTCACTTCTCTATGCCAGAATCTGTATTGTATAAATTATTTATTTTGAATGAGTACAGTAAACTCACAGCTCTGTTATGATTTTTGTAATAAACCACTAGGTTCCATAGTGAACACATTTGTATTTCAAATACCAGTCCTTTTTTTTTTTTTTTTTTTTTTTTTGGCTTGTTCTGGTATAGCTACTTCCTAATTGTAGTGTTACATTGTATCCTTAGCGGAACCTTTTTCCCATGGATAGTTGGTGTCCCTGTGCCTATTCAGTTGACTGAAAAGCTGTAAGTGATGTTTGGGGATTTCAAACCTGGAACCAGGAGACCTAATTATTCAAGTTCTACAGAGTGTCATTTGTGAGAATCCAAAGCCATAGCTCTTAGCACCACGCATCTGTAATGAGAGGTGGTATGAATTCTGGAAAGCCAGCTGCAGCTTCCTATGAATACAGTGAATACGGCTTTTGAATTTAAATACAGTCCAGATTGAAGTCCTACTTGCTCAGGGATCTCCACACACTAGTGGGTGTCCTGCTGTCCCTGTGACAGCGTCTTGCTACAGGTGAGACCTCAAGTGAACTGCAGCTGTCCTGTGTCCCTATGGGGCGCTGTGTATGAAAGGGGTGCGTACTCCAAAACGCGGAGATTCTTTGGCCAGTTGCCAAAGTGTGTGAACGAATCCAACATAGGATTTTTTGTACTGTTAGGAGTTGTTCGCTGCAGTAAGATTAAATATGATCCCGATGAGGGCATCGTGAATTCTGACCTCCCATGTTCTGAAAGTAACCCTCTGCATTTCATTTACTTTCCTGGGGATCTCTTTGAGGCAGGTTTCAGATTATGGCAGTACTCCCATGCAAACTTGGGACAAGCATTAATGTATGGTCATCAGATGTTAAAAATCTGAGAGTGAATTTCAGTTAAAAGATATTCAAACGTGAAATTGACTGGGAGGCCAAAGATTGAAAGAAGCAGCCGATTCTCAAGACTCGTAAGTTAAGGTGTGTGGTGGTGGTGTGTGTTCTGTGTGCGTGAGTGGGAATTGTACATGTTGAATTCTAGGCTCCGACAATCATTGTCAGCAGGAGATCAAGCTGCAAGTATTTATGTTTTAAAACTTAAATTATAAAGCTAGTTAAATCTTTCTAATGACTAGTTTTAATGTTGATGAGCACATTTTACCTGACTTACCTTTTACATTATATTGAAAAAGATTCACCTTAAACACAGATTGGACGGTGGAAGTCTGTGTTGGGAAGAGGTCTTCGGGTTCTTTCATAGCACAAAGGAAAGAGATTTGCTTTCTGCTGAACTGAACAAATTCCTGATCTAGTCTTTAAGACTAGAACATTAACAGCTATGAAGGAAAGGGAAATCCCATGTTAAGTTGACCTGTAAAGACATTGTTACTGGAAACTGATTGGAACTCGAGGCTTTCTTCCCAAAAACAAGGACTTGATCATCAGGCCTATATTAGGTCCTGAACCTTAATGCCATATGTTTGTACTGACTACAAATTGTTTCAATGAAAAGTATGTTAGTAATCAGAACTTCTGGTCCAGTTAGGAGTTCTTCCATTTGCAAAATATGTTTGCGTGGAACTGTTTGAATCTTTTTATTTTCTAGTCCTCCTTCCTCCAGTAGAATTGAAGCTAGAATTTCCCTTTTGATAAAAGAACAAAAAATGAACATGTTATTTGTAAATTGATGTTTAGTAACTAGTGACAAACTTGAAATACTAGAGAATATATTATAAGCCTAATCCTAGGTAGTTTTATGAAAATGTATGTTATTTTTTGAACCTATATTCACATTGGTTTTCAAGATATTTTAAGTTATGTTTTTTCCTCTTTTTCAGAGCTGCTTATGTGGGGGCTACCTTTTTTTATTGTTGGCTTAATTCATAAGGGGCTGCATTGTTTTGATAAGGCTTCTTATAGCTGTGGCTGATGTTTTGCTCTAGTCTTCCAAGAAGGGCCATTTCAGGGTCACTTCTAAAGTCATGTGCTCACTGACTTTGGGGGCTGTTCGCAGATGAGTCCGATACAAACTAAACCCCAAGCTGACCTCATGGCATGTCCCGTGCATGTTGACAGTGGCAGGAGTAGCTTGTCTGTACTGTACTGGCCCGACCGGACTGAAGAGCTGGCAAAGAAACTATTTCCTTCTTTGCACAGATCCGAAGAACTTAAAAAGCTGAATGTGCTGAGGTCTCTTACTGGCCTCAGCAGATGAAGTGAGCTGATAGTGTTAATTCGGATTTAAGAAATTGAATCTTGGTTTGTGTAGACCTCCAATCTACATGCAACATTAGCAAAACAGATAGCTTTCACAGCTCCACGTGTGTGTAGCTCCCTCCCGCCCCTTCCACACCCAGTACTTACTGAACGTTGTAAACCGGCATTGTAACATTACAACAATGTTTTGTTGCACCAATTTTATAAACTTTACAGTGCAATACTTGTTACTTTTCTGAGGCAAACCAAAGGTGTATTTCTCAAGGTTTTTGCTGCCTTCTTTAGCAGCATTTGATGGAGGATCTTTTATACATTTGTAATAGATAAAAATAAACCAGATTGCAAATCCTTTTTAAAATCTTAAACCATGTACCAACTTTTTGGTTGAAATTGTATAGGATAAGTTAAATTGCATTCTTTTAACCAATATGAGTGTATTCTGTAAGCATAGTTATGTTGAAATAAAGTTGTAAAAAGCACGATGCCTTTGTTTATTATTGCTGTAAATTCAAGGAGGCCAAGCTTTTCTGGAACTGCAGGTGTCTTTGTGATGCTCTCAGGTCACTCCCCTGGTGGCCCACTGTGGGCTGGCATGTGGCGTCCACACGTGTAGCCTGTCGGGAGTGCAGGTGGGAGAACAGTTCACTTTTTGTTGTTGTTGTTTTTTCTGGTCTTTTTGGGACAGAGTCTTGCTATGCAGTTCAGCCTGGCCTCGAGCTCCCTTTGTAGCACAGGCTGGTCTGGAACTCACAGCAGTCCTCCTGCCTCAGCTTCCCAAGTGCTGGGATTACAGGCATGTGCCACCACGCCCGGCCCAGTCCACCCCTATTATAGCATAATAATTTCCAAACCTCTGGTCCCTTTAACAGCTTTGTTTGGTTCTTGTTTTCTTTGAGACAGGAACTCACTGTGTAGCCCAGGTTGGTCTTCCTACATCAGCCTCCAGAGTGCTGGAATTACAGGTGTGTGCCATCATGCCTGGCCTGTTCTTTTTTGTTGTTGTTGTTACTGTTCTTTAGTGGATTTTCATGCTGTTAACCAGCTGGGCTCAAACTTGGAGCCCCTCTGTATCCTCCCTGTAGCTGGGATCAAGGGCTGAGGCAGCCGCCCTGCAGTTTGCATGTGCCCACTCCCTTCTCCGCAGCAGGCCTGGGCTCAGTCAGTTTGATTTGTAACTGGGGACAGACGTGTTGAAAGGGAGCCAGGTTATGTGGATTGTTCGCAAAACAGTGACACAGCGTTTCAACGATTGTGATTGGTTGGTTGGTTTTGGTACTGGGGCTGGACCCTGGGTGTTAGCCCTGAGCTCCGTCCCTTGCCCTTTCTATCTTTTGAGACATAGTCTTGTTAGTTGCCCAGGCCAGGTTTGAGCTTGCAGTCCTGTATCTCAGGCTCCCACAGTGCTGGGATTGTCTTACTGGTTGTCCCCAGAGCCTGACTCGTGGGAGGAGTCACACAGTACTGTGTGTTCACGCGTGACCGCACACTCCCTTCTCTGTCCCTGTGGTCCCGGAGGGTGGTGACGCTGCAGAGTGACAGTGCGGTGGTTAGTGCTGAGCGCTGCTGGTTCCTGACACCTCTCACCTCCAGCTCCGTGAAGGAGTGGAAAGTTCCGTGTTAGGGTGCTAGCTGCTCACAAGGCGGGCTGGATACTGTTAGCAGAGGCTCTGGGCCCTGCACCAGGCCTGGTTTCACAACAGGCTTTCTACTAGAGCCGGGCAGGTCATCGAGGAGTGGGCCACCACGCCGGGTACAGCATTTTTAGGTAAACCACCGTGTTGATTATCTGATAGCTCTTCAAAAGTGCATCGCACTGTAAGGTTCCGTTTGAAAATGTCCTTGGGCCCTGTGACACCCCCGCCCCACACCCCACCCCGGCCACCGTGCGCTAAGCGTTGCTGATCCACTTACTAAAACGCCGCGGGAGTTGCAGCTCCTTGTCTGGGCCCCTGTTTCCCAGAACCCACAGGGAGTGGTGAGGACCTGCTGCTGACAGCAGGAAGGGTGCGCACACCTGTCCCCAAAGGGGTCTTGCGTTCTTCTTTGAGGGGAGAGAGGGTCTTGCTCTGTAGTTCAGGCTGGTCTAGAGTTGCTGTGTAGCCCACGCTGGCCTTGAACTCACAGTGCTCCTCCTGCCTCAGCCTGCAAGTGCTGGGCTTACAGCCGTGCGTCACCACGCCTGGCAAGTTCATTATGCCTTTAAGGAAACGTGAGCTGCTCTCTGCTGTGCTCCCAGGGGCACTGTGATAGCACTGTGACGGGTGTTTCCCTTGAGCTCTGGGTCTCCTGGTGTGCGCACCGATGTGGAGCGCACACGAGGTGCTGGAGTCAGCAGAGAGCCACCTTGCAGCCACCCGTCCGCTCCGTGCAGGTGAAGTCCCACGCTGAGCCTTCGGGCCTTGGGCTTGGAGAGAGAACCGCAGAGAGGATCCATGTGCGGGCCCCCGGGTCTGAGACCCGGGCACGGAGGGGCGCTGTGGTGGGAGCTGGGAGGGGCGGGCTGGTGGCCCTCACGCCTGCAAGTTTTGACTCTGCCGGAGTACCTGCTTGCTTTCATTAAGATGTCAGACTTCACAATTCTGTAAATACAAAGCGAAATTAAAGCTTTAAAAACCATCTCACTTTAGAACGTACCATTTCTCTTTTTACAGTGAAGGGTAGTTTTCACACTGTCTAGTGGGGACAGTTCAAATTGTTTTTGTTTTTAGTACCAGGGATTAAACCACCGGTCTTGTGCATATGAGGCCCTTCATTGAGTTCGGTGACTGAGGATTGAAAGCACAGCCGTCACTCTTGAGTTGTGCCCTCAGCCCACTTTTTCAGTTACAGTTGCTGAGTTAAAAAGTTGCTGGAACTGGGCTCAAACTTAAAATCCTGCCTCAGCCCCGTGTGTAGGAGGGTTATGGGTGTATGGTGCTGTGCCTGGCCTTGGTTGCTTCCTGCCAGTCCTTGATACTAGGGACAGATCCCAAGGAGCTCTGAGCTACGTCCCAGCCTTTGTATAGTCTGAGCTTTAGACGGTCTCACTGTGCCATCCAGGCTGGCCTCAGACTCGGTGATGGGACACCTTTCCCTTTTGGTAGCTGAGATTTCAGGTTTGTACCACCATCCCCTGTTCATATTCTTTTAGGTCTTAACACTTCACCAATTTTTTTTTTTTAGTGTTAAAGATAAAAGAATAAAAACATTAACACATGCATTTAGAAAATAAAAACAATACAAGCAATACAGAATTTCAGACAAGGTGACAGGAAATTAACAATGGTTGTTGTATTATATACTGCTATCTTCAAATTGGATACTCATTCACTAATTTTTTTTCCCCCAGTACCGGGAACCGAACTCATGACCTCGCGCTTGCCAGGCAGGCGCTGTGCCGCTGAGCTAAATCCCCAGCCCCTAATTCACTAAATTTCTAGAATCCTCCTGGGAACTTAAGACCCTGAGTTGAACCAGACATGGTAGCACATGCCTGTAATCCTAGTGCTCTAGAGTGGAAGCTGGAGGGTCCTGAGCCTGAGGCCAGCCTGGACTACGCCGACCCTGTCTCCAAAAAACCAAACACCAAATGAACACAAGTGAAGCACAAACCCCTGAGCTGACACCAGGGCAAGGATGGGCGTGCCTCACCTGCCCTGTGTCACCCCTCCTAGTGTGGGCCTGGGCCCTGCGGGGGACGGCGTGGGGTGGTGAGGGACAGCTTGAGCAGCCCTGGCCGATGGCCATGTGGAAGGGGCTTCTGAAGTTACTTCCGTTTACCTGGCACTGCCCCCCCCATCTGCCAGGAAGAGCGGCGCTCACTGCAGTGCCCACTCACGTTCTGCCACTTGCCACTCCCTCCTTGGAAAGTGATGGGGTGTGTTTTGAGATACAAAGGCTGGCCTTTCTCCCTGTTCTCTTCTGAGGATTGAACCCAGGGCCTTTGCCCCGAGCTCTATTGCAGTCATTTACCTACCTACCTTCTCTTCTGTCCTCCCCTCCCCCTCCCCCTCCCCCTCCTTCCTTCCCCCCTCTCCCCTCTCCCCTCCCCTCCCCTCTGCTCTCTTCTTTCTTTCTCCTCTTTCTTCTTTTCTCCCCACCCCCCTCACTGTCTCTCTCACTCTCTCTCAGGGTCTCACTGTGCAGCTCAGGCTGGCCTTGAGCTCACTTTGTAGTCCAGGCTGGTCTCAACTCACAATGGTCCTCCTGCCTCAGCCTCCCAAGTGCTGGGATTACGGGCATGTGCCACCACGCCCGGCCTTGCCAGTCCATTTTTAATTTTTATTTTGAGACAGGGTCTTAGTAAATTGCCCAGGCTGGGCTTAGACTTGTGAACCTCTTGCCTCAGCCTCCTAGAGTGCTGCAGAAATTACGGACAGGCATCAGTGCACGTGGCTTAAAATAGTTTTAAAGCCCTTGTTTCTTTTCCCTTAATACACATTGTCAAAAGCAAAGTATTGTGAAAGATTTATGATGAAATCAGAAGTCTACAGTTTCTCCCTTTTCCTCAGGCATTTGGCGACTGTTAAGTGAGGTCAGTTACAATCAGCATTCAATTGCATTAAAGTCAGCAGGAACAGAGAACACTATTTCCCCAAGGTCAGAGATGCACTGAAGTCTCACGGTGGATCTAAGAAGCCACAGTTCTTCACAGCCCTTCCGACCAGCTTGAGTCTGCTGCCACTGGCGCTTGCTTTGGCCCGTAGAATAAATGAGGCAGTGTGGCCCAGCCTCTGCTGCTGTTGTCCCCAACACTGTCACTGTGTGAGCAACCGAGCCTACTTGCTGAGAACTTGGATAGGGCAGGCAAGGGAAGATGCCTGGCTCTGACAGCTGGCCCAGCATCTCAGCTCAGGCTCCAGGGCAGAGGCCAGCCTGCTGCCACCTCTGCATGCGTGTCCCAAAGGGCAGAGCCACTGGGCTGAGCCCACAACAAACACAGCTGAAGAACAGGAGCCGGGGATGGTGGCACTGCCTGTAGTCCCAGCATTTGGGAGGCTGAGTCAGGAGGATCACTGCAAGTTCAAGGTCAGCCTGAGCTACATAGTGAATTCAAAGCCAGCCTGAACTACATAGACTTCATAGCAAGACTCTGTCTCAAAAAACCAAAACCAAACAAACAAAACCCCCAAATAAATGCTTGGTTGAAGCTTTGGGTGGTTTGCTACTCAGTGATACATGTGTGAACACATACGTCCTCGAACCCTGTTACTAAATAAGCATTTTCAGTGAACAGCTGAGCAGCCGTACCTAGAAGGGACTTACCCGTGCTCGGCGGGGCCGGGTGGGGCCCGGGGACAGTCACACATTGTTCTCCGTTGTTGAACAGCCCCCTTGTCCAAGTTCTCGTGCTGAAAAATTTTAACACATTTCTTAGAATTAGCTTTACATAAAGCTTTATTTGTCCAGTGAAAAAGGCATTTTCTTTAGCTAGTGTTTCAATCAAAAATACATCTTTTATCTCGGGTTTTAGAGGAAAGCAGTCCTCATGTCTCTAATTTGC